TTACATTCCAAAGCGACTCTTTATAGCATTGTATACAATATCAACATCTTTATAGCTGTAGTTGTCGAAGGGTATTTTCAGCGCAACTCCTCGATCTCCGATGTTGTCAGCGAGATCAACTCCTGGAATTCTCGTTCATGTATTCAATCCACAATTAAGACAGAGTATTCGCAGCAGTTCCGCAATATTCCTTTACCACAGGAAAAGTAAGTAATAAGTAGGAAAGTAATCGCATTTGAAATAAAAGCTCTGCGAATGCTGACGTCTAAGCCATCGAAAGGGTATCTGTAGCACTTTCCACAAAGCGGGAGGAAATTTCAAAAAGTGCGAGCATTTCGCAGCTCAACCGTTGTTCAAAACCGTAATTGTCGTTCGTAGATTTTGATGCGCTTTGAAACGGCTTCGATTCGCCTGTATAGTGCAATATAAAGGTCATTTTCCTTTGAAGGTGCTGTTTATGTAATAGAGACATGCGCCGGCACGAGAGCTAATGATGAAAGATGCTCGAACGCACCCGCTTTGGAATATGACTTGCCGCATTCGTCAGACACTAGCTTTTACCACAGTGTTCTCTCCATATACCACACATGGCGATTTAGTGTGTAGCACTTAATTATGCTTTTAATGCTAATCCTTGCATTCGAAGAATGATGCATCAGACGCACTTGTCTTGTCAATAATGATTAGATACAAGGCAATGACCAAATAAGGCAGTCGATAAATCGGTGAGGTATACATTTATGTGGCAGAGGTGGTAAGCCCAAGAGTGTGCTTGTTTTTTCTTCTAGTACAAGACTGTTTGCATGGTTTACTATGCTTTACTTTTAATAAATTTTGCTGATTAGAAGTTTCTATAGAAAGCAGTGGGTTCTGAAATGTGACATAATCCTATAAGGTTGGAAAATTACGAGATTTTTTATTTTGGGAATAGCTGCAAGCTCAAATAACATAAATGTATGATATACAGGTGTCATTATGAGCGTCACGGTCGACGCGGCAAGGCTCTTCGCGAGCTATCTCGCTTGGGTCTTTCGCTGCGTTCGCCCTCAGCCGATAAGGTATTTTCATATTCTTTAGGGCGGACATACTAATGCCTAGGCACAAATGGCTGACGAGCTTGGGAAAATGTTTCAGACACTTCGTGAACGCGGCGAGCGGCCCAAGCGGACTCGCGAGGATGCGAGTCTCGCCGAACGTGACACTTAAATTGAAAGCCCTGTAAGATTGCGTTCATACTGATCCGGAAATCTGGGAACAGTTCCAGCACAGCGCTCGAATTGAGCACTGGGCTGAGACTGTTCCCGAAATTCAGGATCGCTATGAACACAGCCTAATAGGTCGTGGTGCAAAATTCTCTCACCGCCTTGAGAGTGCGCCTTCAGCACCTACTCCGCCACCCGACACGGTACCAGACCGCGTTGGTCGGAACCCAATCTCAGCGGGAGCGTCACACTAGTAATAGTTTAGCACTTCGATAGAATTGAAACAAATACTGTGCATGATTGTCCTCTCAGCAGCCGCTTTATAGGCAGGATCATAAATCTTAACCTTATTGTCGATAATGCTGAGCTATTTGCGATGCCGGAGGTGGTGCAGGAGGAACCAAAGCCGCCGCCTGTATCCAAGGGGAATGTGGAAAGCAGAGAAGGCTCCGCCCATCGCTCCGCCCACGGGATGCTTCAATTGTGCGTTCAGCAAGAATGGTAGATGGACTACCAGATAGTGGTCAAATTCGATGGGTTAAGAGGTTGAACTATGAATTGAAACTTGAGAAATGGATAGTAAAGATCTGGGAGTCAGTAAAGATTCTGAAACAGGTTTTCAGGTACCAGGATGATAATAGAAGTAGTATCATGCCATAAACCTAATAAATGTATTAACGGTCATCTTTGTAAGCTTCATATAAAACACCTTTACCATTTAACTGTTGTTTAGTTTTGCTCAAAACCGATGTGATAATGATACAGCTTAGAAGGAGGATTACCAAAAAATTGATTTAAAGCAGGAGAACATAAGCCGAAAATGAAGTTTTAAAGTGATTTTAACAATAACTTTAACAAAAAGAACAAGGACGTAACATGCAAATGCAAACATCGTTATGCTTGAGAGGAGGCTCAGTAAAGCTTCACAGCTCAGATTACGAACCAAACCTGAACCCCGCTGGCAGTTGTCGAGACATAGAGTTAAAAAATTGGCGAATTTTGACGATTATAGTGTTGGACCACCCAAGTAAAGTGGTCATTTTTAGCACGTTAACTTTGTTTTAAAGATGAGAACTTCTTTTTGCATTTGGTACAAAAAACTTCTACTTTTTGCTCAGACTGGGACCACTTCAAATAAACTTTAAAATAAGTAAATATGAGCAAGCCAAACTTCGTTTGTCTCATTTTTTCACTTCCAATATCAGAATAAAGGGAACCAATCAGACTCATATCACTTTTGTGCAAATTACGAGGTTTAGCCTATCGAATATGTATATTTTTGCCGCCTTCTTACACGATCCACCCAGCAGTGCAGGCTTAGCGTGTTACCATAACCCAGCTCGCAGTATTTTTCATTTTCATAGATGAGAAAACCTGACCATATCTTTACTTAGAAAAAATGATTCTGAATGAGATTTCTCTATAGAGAAGAAGGTTAGCAGTGGCAACGATATAAAAAGCACAGACAAATGCTCTGAAGGTCCAGTTAATGAAATGTGGCACAACTTCTAATAAGGGCAAGCAAAGCTCTTCTGGGGTTGTGCCACACCCCATTAACTTACCTCCAAAAAAATTTAACAAACAGAACATTTACTGTTTGATAGCCATACTCGTAGTTCTTTGTACAACTAACTGAAACTGAATCGTCTTCTTCCGTTCGAGCAATAGTTGTCGGAGGGACAACCACTGTAGGCGAAAGATGGGACAAATGAGATTTTGGCTGGCTCTTAATTCTATAGTTTAATGGTCATTGAAACCATGATTCATATATAAGCAAATATACAGCAGTGCTTGTACTGACAAGGGAAGGATACCAACATTAGTTGGCAACTGAAGATGAGTTGTATATCATCAGATGCGCCTTTGAACGCTAATTCCAAATCAGCTTTCCTTTTCTGCGGAATAAATTTCCGAAAGGAGTTCTGAGCGTTTGAACGTCCAAATTTGCCAGGCTTAAAATCGGCGAAAAAGCTCTAAAACAACACCCATTGGATTTCCACCGGCTTTGTTCCTTCCTTGCAAGCAATATACTCGATACAAAAATGATATTCCACTTTCCGGTGTTTTCGTACAGCTTTTCGCCAATTTTAGGTCACCTAGATCACTACATTTGGGTGGCCCATTGGGGCTCAGAATTTGCTAAAACTTGGCCCATGGTGATTATTTGACATGATAAAACGATTATGCTGGAATGGGGGGGGGAGTATTGAAGCGGAGTTTAGGAAAGGGCTCATATGTGGAGGTTCTGCGCCACACCTCTTGTATCTGTTGTGAGTGCTTTTCAAGAAAAAAATTAAAGTAAAAGTAGTCATTCAGGACAGTCTTCTGTGCCTCGCGCAGCAGTGGTGATTGTCAGAACACTATTGCAATATACTACGTTAAGTAAACTCCAACATCACTGCTCTACTAGACCGCCAAAAACACTGCAACGAACTGTGTCATTTGTTTCTTGTTACGACAAATGCTCCACATCCGGAAAAGCATATCTCACATAGGAAATAAGTTCAGATTACCGTTTCAAGCCTAGTATTGCCGCAGAAAATGTCTACAACTCATCTAAAGACGTCTGAAGCATACTTTCTCGCTTCCTCAACAGCTATGAAAACATTTTCTAGAATTTTTCTCTTGCAAAGGAAGGATACAATTTTGTGAAACAATGGTGCTTTTAAGTCTTCTAGTTGCTTTGAGCGGAAGTTCTCACAAATGAAGCGCCTAAAAGCAGCAAGTATCCCTTCAAAAAACTCTTAATCACCCAGAGCATATAGGGTTCGGAGGTTTTATGTCGAAGAAGACAGCACAAAAATTGTTATGTAAGAGAAGAAATTCAACGTAACGTAACGCCATTACGAAATTTTTGTTGCTTGACTGCAGCTTGTATTGTAAAATGTGTGGTGCATTTGCTCATGGTGTTGCAAGCAAAATCTGTACATATTATGCACAATAGCAAGCATAGAAATACTGCACTTTATTAGCAGAGGCGACAGTCAGATTTTTTTTATTTTTATTGGTTTTGACAATAATAAAATACAACCACAACACAACCAAGCAACAGCTTTCAGAAGTCAATGCTTCGATAGCACTTACTGTTGCTCTGCTTTTGTACAAAAGAAGATAATAAGGCAATCTAGCGCGGACCTCCATCTCTCTCCGAAGCGATGCGGTTCTAATTTAAACTTCGAAAGACCGATGTTCTGTTCGAACACGCACTTCGCAAATAAAGTTAGTTTTCGTCTTTTTCATGCTTCACTTAAGAGATAAGGTCGGGGCTAGCGTCTTGAGAACTCGCGTGAGTAACGGCATCAGTCTCCGATTTCAAATGCATTATGCTACACTTTTTGAAAGAAAAATGTAGCTTAACTGTTGTTTGCAGAAAACTGCGTAAGGTTGCAGACCTGCTGATATTGGCTGATTATCCAGTAGGGGTAAGGCTTTTCAACAGTAGCGGTAAACAAAAATTCTGCAGGGATTCTATCAAAAACTTCGACAGAAGAAGCGCTTTTTACAAAAAAAAAGATACAGAATATTTTTCATTTTGCTGCTTGAGAACTCAATCATTTTAGGTTTAGGAAGATATTGCTGAATCTAGCAGATGTCAATTCAAATGAAATATTCATTATTCATTTCAAAAAGTAAAAGCGACATGTAGGTTGAAAATTGCACTTACCTCGCAAACTGACAAGTACAATGCTTTTATAATTGTATATCGGTTGAATCTGCCACCATGGTTCGGGCTCCTTTCTGCAACTGTGCGTAAGTGTGTCTCTACAGTTACCAGACAGGCATTTGAACATGGTTCTACTTGAACAAATCGACCCTTTCCTGATTACGAACTCAGTTTGAACCGTAAAGAAATGCTTGCCACCTGCAGGGCGTATAATCTAGCTGATTTTAGTAATATTTTTATGCATGCGCTCCAGTTGGAGGAAATGGCAAGGAGGGTGGAACTCGCGTAAGGAGGAAGCAGCATACAACGGATTGAAGGAATTGAAAAACCAAAAGCAGTGTTGTATGGGGTGGGGCCTCCTCCCCCCCCCCCAGCCCGAGAATGGGTTGCGAAATTTTTGAAAGTTATCACATGCGTTGTAAAATCTGCAAGTAACTTGTTTATACTTGACTGTGTAATTAAAATGATTTCTAAGAATTCTAAAAATCCAATCTAGCCTCATAAAAAACATAGCAAAAAGGGTAAGGAAATCCTGGGTACGCTACTGCCTCAAAGGTATGCGCTGCTCGACTTATTGTCAGCAGTTAAAATTGTTGTAAAAACTACATTATCAAGGTGAAAATCACACACATTACGTCAGGCAGTTCCTTTGCAATCAAGTCAATGGAAGGCTAAGATGTCGGGATTAGATTACGGTGCAAAACTGTCGTGACGGTATCTATGTATATCTAAGTTGAAAACGTTTTTAAATAAGTTGAAAAATAAGGGAACCTGTAAAGAGGCGCATTTTTCGCAAAAATAAAAAATCTATGAAGTGTTTAATAGCGTGAATCAACAGTGACAAACAAAAATCTCACTTTCCAAAGCAGCCTTTTACTGGCAGAACACTAGTTGTTTCTTGCGCAAATGATATCAACGCCAAATATTATAACTTAGGGTACCTCAAGTGAGATGTTGAACAAGGCGTAAAACAATAGTGCATTCAATTTTTCCTTTTATACCAGATACCCAGTAGGATACGTAAGCTGTTGATTGCCAAAAACATACAATCTACGATTTGTATCTCCAAAAATATGCAGGTGAATAGAGGTAATCAGAAGATGGTTTGTGACGAAATCTACTACTACTTGATTGTGTTCTCTACTACTATTTGATTATGTGTATTACTTTTCGGTAAACAAGTGCATTGTGATTTTTGCATTATATCTCATAAAAAGCTGGCTGCTCTTATAATTGACTACTCATGTTGACAGTCTATGATACTCATGATTATACTGTTTAACTCACATGCCCGAAAAAAATAACAGACAATTTGCTACATTGCGTACATCCCTTGATCGGTTGATGTGATCGATTGCACTGTAAAATGTTTGAGTTATGCTTTCTTCAACATATGTGCGTACCAAAAGTGATTAAAACTCATACCTTTCATCAGCGGGTGGACAAGGAAAATCACCGGGTAGTATTTCCCTATACGCCTTTTCGAAAATTATTGAACTGTCATTTGCCATATTTTCAAAAACTGTATAGAATTTCTTCGACGCTATATTCTGGTTTACTTGACCGTAAGCCCAAAAGCCTGCACTTGAACTTAAGCTGGTATTAACGACTTTCTGGGCAATATCAGAAACCATCTCCGTTTCCTGAATAGTCAAAAAATCAGATCCTCGACAGTGGTACAACATGCAGATGTTTGAAGTAAATCTTTGGTCATCAGGTACAGTCATAAGAAAGAATGCTAAAAATGCTAAGCGCTTGAACGAGTTTTCATGTTTACATGATTGTCAATATTTACCTTCATTATTTCCGAGTTATTATTAAAGGTGAGCAAGTCTACTGCAAAGGCACAGTAAATATCCGGATGTGCTGAAATTAGTTGATAATATACTAATAGGCGCACCAGTTGTTCATCAATGTGTACCAAAGGCCTAACAAAGTTTCTTTTTTTTTTAAATTTTCTCTTTTTCGTTTTCAACCTATTCCTTCCCTCTATCCATACATTACGCAACATAATTACGCTTCCGAAAGTAGAAGCGAAAAACTCGCTTTTGTTGGAATCCAGTGCGAGAAATAAAAAGTACCGTGGAGATAAAGTAAGTCTTACCTCTGAAGTAATGTAAAGCGACTGTTTACACTATCTGAAAGATGAAGAGAAGTACCTCTTGTTTGAAAGTGTTGTGCATTCATGTAAATCTCAGGGAAAATACCTTACAAGGGAATGGTCAGAAGTCGAAGTGGCCAAACCAAAGAAGCTGTATATCATTTGATGCAGTATAAAACGCTAACTTCGAATCTGTCTTCCTTATCTGCTTCCCGCTTCTGTGGACGAAGCTACAAGCGGTTTTATTGTAAAAGAAATCATGCATAAAAACAGCGAAATTGAGCACATTGTTGCACTTTTAGCTCGGCTTTTGGCTTCATAAATTTTAAGTAAGCTAGCTGCATATTTTTGCCCAGCATTGAGGCGAACGAGGCTCTGTACGGCTAAATTTTTAATTTCACGCATAATTTCTAAGCAAAATAATGGTCTTTAATGGCTTATAACTTCGTCCAGAAAAGCGATAAGCAGATAAAGAAAACAGATTTAGAGTCAGCGCTTCATGCGTTGACTGGATTGGCCGCTTCGATTTCTGACCATTCCCTTGTTAGTGAGTTAGTATCTCACACCTAATTTTTCGAATGGTCTTCATAAACAAATATTTCAGCAGTCCTTTGTCTATGAATCAAATGTTTGAGACAAACCTGTCGCCATTGTTGTAGTTGTCAGCTTAGTTGTGCTTCTTCTAGTCGTGGTGTCCATTTCCTCACCTTCAATGTTCTTAGTCAATGGTATGTATTCAGGAAAGTGAAATTCACTCCTATGAAAAGAGGGAATACAGAGGTTTGCGAAGGTTTCTGAACAAAGAAGTTATAATTATTGCAAAGCAATCACCTAAACATTCGTATAGCTGTTATTGCTCTTGATGAATAAGGTAGTGAGGAGGTACAGGTGAACGCAACAAGTTTTGTCTAAAGTTGTACAAAATGCTGTAAGATCGATTAAGCGCAAAATTCGAGTAGTTAAATAACATTGACATAGCATGGCAGACCTCAATCGCAAAATTTTCAGACTATCACTCGCTCACTGTTTGCTTTCGTTGTTGACAAGTACTCTCTCAAATTCCAAATCCGAAAAAACCATCTTAAATGTGCGCTTTCTTTGCCTATCACATAGAACTTTGAAAAAATTTGAAAAGAAAGCTCATTTCAAAAATTCCACTTTTCAACTTTTACGGTATCCCGCAAGTAGTATTCAAGCGATGCGTTAGAGAATTTTCCACACCTCTCTCTCTCATATTTTCAATATTTGCCTTATATGTGAGGGGTGCCTAACATTTGGAAAGAAGCTATTGTTACGGCCATTCCAAAAGTACCTAAACCCATGGCGGTTAACCGATTTCAGGCCTATAAGCATAAATTCTGTCCCATGCAAAATTTTTGAGAAAATTCTACGCGACAAACTATTTTCTTGGTTTCAAACTCATACCTCCCAAACAACATGTTTCGTCATGGAGCATATACTGTGACACAACTGATAGATTGCAGACATGACTGGTCATATAAAAAAAGAAGTGGATGTAATCTATTTCGATTTGTTCAAAGCTTTCGACCGTATAAGTCATGATAATTGTTATATAAGCTGGAGCATTAGGGCATCAGAGGAGTTCTACTGGAATTGATTAAGTCATATTTTCACTCTAGATTTATGACTGCCCGTGTTGGTAGAGATCACTCTGGGCGTTTTCCATGTACAAGTGGGCTTTCGCAGGGAGGTGCTCTTTCACCTCTTCTCTTCATTATCTATACCGCCGACTTGCCCAAAATTTTGAAAATTCATCCCGATATTCACGTACTAATGTACGCTGATGAAATAAAAATATACGGGATTTATGATTACAGCAATCGCGAAGTTATCAAAGATGCTTTACAACGCGTCATTGACCGTATGGTTGATTGGTGCGCAGTTTGGGATGTTTCGATAAACGTCAAAAAAAGTGTCGTGTTTCATACTGGTGCGATACCAATTACGAACACGCTGGAGTCATGCTATCCAACGAAACATCAGTTAAGAATTTGGGAGTTCGACGACACCTTAAAACCTGATCAGCAAGTTTCAACTGTTACCTCACGAGCTTTTTCAACTTTATACACCATTTTTCGCAATATTAAAGTCAATGACGTCAAAATACTGATTGAATTGTACAAAGCATACGACCCCTTTCTTAGAATACTAGCTGGCTTACCCGGCTCCGCCCCGCCCTGTCAATGCTATGATTAAGGTTTCATCCCTATTCTTGTAGAATCTTTCATTGTGCCCACTTCTACATGCAATTCCCTATTCCCGATGTGTTAATAATTAGCATGCCCACCTACCTCCCTCAACAACCCCCATCCTCGTAGCTCAAACTTTGCAAAAAAAGCAATAAAACCGGTAAAAGTAAGGATAATTCTGAAAACTGATGGCGCTATTCGGCTATCCGGCCCCAAAATGTTTTTGTGATGGATCTTGCTCAAAGTCGGTACATGGGGATTATTAAAGCCGCTAATAACGAATATCGTAGTCATTTCGCGCGATATAGCGCCATTTTCTGGGTTTACGTTGGGTACATATAAGAAGCTAAAATCATGGATTTCGCTGAAACTTTGAGGGGGGCTAATTGACATGCTGATTACGAATATCATACTCCTTCGGCATTTTGAGGCGATTTTACTGAGTTATGGTAGGTATATACTGCAGAGGGGCGAAATCTCAGTTTTAGCTGAAACTCGGTCTAGAGAGATTCGACTTTCTAACCACGTTTAAAACACTCTCATTGCGTTTTGAGACCTTTTCGCAGAGTTACGGTAGGTACATGGCAGCGGGTAAAAATCATGAACCTGCCTGAAACCTTGGCAGAAAATTACCTAAAGTGCTGTTTCAAGAATATCGTGCTCAATCCCCACAATAAAGGCAATTCGTGTGGTATAAAAGTTTCCCACGACCGTAATGCTTTCCCTTATAAGACCACTGCTGAGCGCGAGACACCCTTCGGCGGCTTTGCCTAAGCATAGACAGGGGGAGGGAGATTTGCCGCGTGCGTTACGCGTTGGGACAGGTTATCAGGATGGCGCTGGAGACCGCCATGCAAAACGACCGTTTCCCCATCTCTTGAATATCTGGGATCTGAATTGGCCCGAAAGCGAAAAAATGTCCATTCAAACTCTGCAACTCACCATAACTTCACTATTGCGTTATGACAGCGAGCAAGCACCATACTCATAATTGATATACTTGTGAACCGTTACAGGTAAGGTTTTGAGCAAATCTGGAACTTCGACCCATCTACACCCACCGTAACCCAAGAAAATGCACTATCCTGCGAAATCAGCATGATATTCATGTTCAGCGCGCTAGATGCGCACTAGACATTCTAGACGAAGTTTAAAGCAAATCTATGTTTTCGATGCCATATAACCACCACAACTCTATGAAAAGGTCCCAATATGCACAGAGAGATGATATTCGTAATTAGCATGTCGAATAAGCCATATGGACCGAACTCCAGCCGAATTTATGATTTTGACTTCCTACCTACACCTATCGTAATCACACGGGAAGACTTTCTGCGGAGAAAGTGTGATATCTGTAATCGGCTTGTAAAGGGCCGGGCATACTTCACGCGGTTTCAGTCGCGACGCGATTTGGCAATTCGCCAGAAGTCTTCGGATCCAACATTAGCAAAGTGCACATGCATATTGTGTATAACTTACGTAAACTGATGAAATGCCCTATCTCTTCTGTACATTTATAATGTGCTTACAATGAGTTATGGACACCTGGAATACTGCCAAATCGCGTCGCGATTGAAATCGCTTGAAGTATGCCCGGCCCTTAAGATAACCCTTATACACGAAGTATGAGTAAGCTCTACCACAAAAAAATTTTGGGGCCCGGATAGCCGAATAGCGCCAAACTAATATCGAATTCGCAATCAGCATGCTCGATTACCCCCTGTGCAAACTCCCAGCCTCGTAGGTCAAACTTTACAAAAAAAATCGATAAAATCGACAAAATTAATCGTTAATCCTGAAAACTAATATTGTATTCGGAATCCCATGCTCGATTACCCCCTGTGACAACTCCCAGCCCGTAAGTGAACTCTGCAAAAAATCGATGAAAATCGATAAAATCGATATCGATCGATGACGAAAAGTAGCCTATGACACCCGCCGAGGCCCGAAGCGTATTGCCAAGTTTGGTCCGGCTCGGTTCAGAAATGGAATTTTCTATTCGGAACATACGTACATACAGACAGACATACAGACATACAAACGGACATTCAGGTTTATATATAAGATATCCTAGCCGTACCAACCCGTTAAAACAGCGCTGAGATCCAGAATCTTGAAAAAGCAATTAAAAAAAGCGCTTTTTGAAATTCAACAGCTCATAACTTCTTCAGAACTGCATGAATCATGTTGCGACTTCATGACTTAGATTCTTCTCATCAAGAGCTTTCAGATGATATATAATATGTGGGGGTATGGGGCCTCCTACGAATTATGCTTGGGGGGGGGGAGACGTTTCATCACAAAGCCTCCCCTGGCGCCCTCCCTCCAATACATTAAAAGTGGGCTGGGGGAGACTTTATAATGAAAATTCTCCCCCCAGAGCATAATTCGTAGGAGGCCTCAAACCCCCACATATTATATATCATCTGAAAGCTCTTGATGAGAAGAATCTAACCTATGAGTCGCAACATGATTCATGCAGTTCTCAAAAGCTATGAGCTGTTGAAGTTCAAAAAGCGCTTTTTTTACCTGCTTTTCAAGACTCTGGATCTCGGCGCTGTTTCAATGGATTGGTACGGCTAGGATATATACGAATAAGGCAAACCTTACTCTACAAAATCTGTAAAGTCGCAACATCACGCACTTTCACATTCAAAATTTATATGAGTCTAACTGTCAGCTGTCAAAAAACACGCAAAAATGGCGTAAATTTTTAGAATTCTGGTTTTCGACGACTATCTCTCAAATCGACTCGATTTTTTACTCTCTGATAGAGCACCATTTACTCTTCAAAATCTATGAAGTCGCAGCTGCTGACATCTTCAAACAACAGATTTATAACAGTGGAAATTTCGCATGATTTTTCACCATTTATTCTGGTTCTCGGCCGTTACCGCCTGGATCAATCTACTTTCTTCGCTGTACATTATAACAGAATTTAATTAATAAAATTCGTACAGTTACGCTAAGTTTTACTTCCAAATACACTATTTGATAAGCTTATTTTGGATATTTATGACGCTGTATACATAAAAATATGCTTTCAATGATCTCTTTTGCATTTGTTTTGCTTATTTTCCGCGCACTGGCGGCAACGACCTGGAAGGATAGACGCTAATGCCCCCCCCCCCCCCCGGTTGACGTTTTTGGGAGGTGAGTGTCCGGTACTACCACCTTCACTTTTGGCCGGCCAGTGGTAGCTGGGACCACCTTCACTTTTGGTGAGTCCGGCTCCCACCATCGCACCTCTGCTTTCAACATTGCTGTAATTCCGTAAAATCACTTTTTTTTACCTTGACAACGAGTGAGTGTAATAATGATTACAGCATACTGTGCTTGATGAGCTCTCTAGTAGGCTGTGCTTTTTCCAAGTAAAAATGGCCTCTACCTTACATTGCCAAAATCTGAATGCTATACGTCAAAGGAAAAATTTTTTTTGGAAAAGTTGTATTACTTTTTCGCCACCAACTTATTGCCTGAATGAAGTGAAGCAGTTTTTGCAAAAATGTCAATGCTTGACTTATCATCTCAGCATTGAATATTGCAACTTCCAGCGCAGATGACGCATAAGCCTACTGTTAGAGTGATCCAATCGTAGCCCCAGGATCGGAACCAGAGTCAGTGTGGTCACTAAGACCAGTATCAATAGTCAAACTCTGCATTTGGGTAGATCAGTTTTTCAACCCTGTGGGATATAAATGGTAGTAGAGTGTCAGTCATGGTATAGTTAAGCTTTCCAAAATTGGCAATTCCTTCCTTTATGTCAGTAACAGTCAACAGTCAGTATGGTCTACGTTTCGGCAGAGACGGAGAGAAATGAAAAGCTCAAAGAAAGCTCATATACTTTTGCTTATATTTCTTATATGGTTTGCATTTCGAAGCTTACCTAAATGCTAGCTACTTCACCATCCTATAGAAAAATTGTAAAAAGGTGTTTACAATGATATGATAGTTTCTATCATGAATATAATTGGAACTGCCATATCTTCAGCATGTTGCAAAAAAAGCGCTAGGACAAGATACTTGGTGTGTATATACTGTCCAATATGATTATGATGATTTACCTTAGGTCGTAAAGAAAGTCTGGGGACTTGCGAAAAAATTTTTTAACCCGCTGTAACTTCAAGCAGATTGTTTTTTTTGGAAGCTACAAACTTCCTTGCAATGTCCAAAACATATATTTGTCTTGCTGGCTTCACCACCTCACTGCGGTCCACCAGCATGCGCAGAAGGAAAGAAGGTCGTCGAGGTCAGAAGGAAAGAAGAAAGAAAAGTGGCCTATTTGCTATTTGGTTATCTCAGGCACGATGAAAGCTGGAGAGCTCAAATGCTGTAGCTATATAGAAATCTGTTGGGGCTTTATGGAGACCATCGCCTTTGAGCGACCACATACAAAAAAGTTTTCCCAGAATGTTGAAAAATCGATAATTTTTTGCTCCTAAAAATGCACCTTTTTTCGAGTAAGTGAATTTGAAGTTTTCTCTTTCCGCATAGGGTGAACCAAATCTCTGATTACTGAGGACATTATTGGAGTAATGCTTTACATATCTTCTGGACCCATTATCCAGGCATGGCGATCTTCGCAGAAGCGACGCCAGCTGCGAAAGTGTTGCAGTCAGAGGCAAGTTCGACAGCTTGTAACCTGAGCACAAATCACAAAACTGGAGTACAGTTGCGAGTCAGGATTTGACAGGCTTTTCAATCAAATCATCTATGATTCGGATATTCTCCGAATCGCACAAAAAATAGTCGTAGGAAGAAAAATTGTGAAATTTCTATGGTTGGAAAGATTTTTCTACTTAATGTGCAGATCAAAATGTCTTGGCATCGATAAAAATCAGAAGCCGTATCGAAAACTTTAGGCTTTTCTTCACTAAACACTATAAAATCTTGGTGTCAAAGTCCGGAGCGCCGAAATGCGTTTGAAAGTGAAATTTCTAAAAGTGCCCGAGAATTTTCTTTACTACCTGATATTGAGCGGCTTAATCTGAAGCTGTGCGGAGTTTGTCCCTTACAAAATTTCATAAGGAATGTTTTACAATGCTCTAAGCAAGCAATGTGTAATAGCGTGACCACTCTCGCTATCACACATTACATGCTTAAAGCATGGAAAATGGAAAATTGCAAGTTATTGTAAAAAATTAGGCGTCGTCGTCAATGGGTCAAAGACGCTGACTTGATGGTTTGCCCCTGTCTGCATAGCAGACAGGGCATGAATTGAACAATAACTTGCAATTTTCCATTTCAGGAAAAGACATTACATGCTTAAAGCATGTAATGTCTAGAACAGTGATCCCCGTTTTCAACTAGGGATCACTGGATTTAGACGACTCTGGAATGGTATAAGAAACAAGCTAATAGAGTGTAAATTACTCTAACACTTTCCGTGTTGATTAGTGAGGGTCTCTGCGAAGCAGAGGTGAAGCTTTGGCATTTTCATCAAGCAGTAGAAAAGTTTTTCAGAAGGGTAGTAGACGATAAAAACTTTTGAAGCAGTAAATTCATAGTTTTGAGATCCTATGCATGCAGGCCCGAAAAAAAGAGATTAAATGGTTTACTCTGTTTTCGAAAAATTAGGTCACAAAGAAAACTACATTAGCTGTTTCTTCGTTTTGTGTAGCGGGATGCTTCGTCCACCCTTCTACTGGGCTTTAGCACATTGACGATGATGTGGACCATCGATGGGTTACACCTCTTCATAAGGTAAACCCTTTACAGGTTTAGAATTCCAATTTCCGGAAAGTACACGGGGTTATTGGGATCTGTAAACTCCGCTGTCGAAGAGTACAGATGCAGAATGCATACAGATACTTACAAAACATTCCCACACCTCGTAAATAATTCACAAAACAAATGACCACGAAATTTTTGTGCGATATCGCGTCGTCCCACAGCACGCTACACAAAATTAGGCGTCGTCGTCAATGGGTCAAAGACGCTGACTTGATGGTTTGCCCCTGTCTGCATAGCAGACAGGGCATGAATTGAACAATAATTTGCAATTTTCCATTTCAGTTAGAGATAGAGGTGAACTCTTTTTTACACACTCGTAAGCAAGAAAAAAGCCTGTTGCAGATCAGAGTCATCAACCAACGCTTTCTACGTTTGAAAAAAAGGATCACCTTCTTCTGAGATATCTCGTTTTCTTGTGGTAGCAACTATGATGCTGACAATGCATATCACAAGGACAACGCATATGGCGCTCAAGATTATATAGAACAGTCTTGATCCCAATCGTTCTTTTATTCCATCTAAAAATTACATAGGTAAAACCTTGAACACGACGAAAATGACAAATAATTATACCTGTAACATTTCTACATTGTTGAATGATATTTGTAGGGGACCTCCTAAATTTGCACATTTTTAATTTGCAGGCTAATAATGTGTCAAATAAATGTATGTGCAGAGATTCTGTAATGCTGCTATCTTCTGATAAACACTCAACACAAATTCTCGTTACCGCGTTTTATTATTAGTTTTGTTGATAAATAAGCTCGTTGACATGCAAGTTGAACCTCTATTGAAAATCAAGCAGTTATCATTTAGCTACTATATTTTGTTAGGTGGCAGCTTCAAACTTTTGCTATCACATATCTCACCTTAAGATTTTCCATCAGTAATGAAAGCAGTCACTCCTTATATGCTACCCTTCTAAAAACCACTATTTTGATTTTCTGACTTTCGTTTTTAGGTTGTAATAAGTGTGTACAGGTAAGTAGTTTGGTGCTTGAATGCAAATAACCTTGGGATACGGGGCGAGCCACAAAGAAGATTGGCGAGCTGCTGTCTATGAATTTCTGCGAGCAAAATATGCAATTTTTCAAGCCTTCGCGCGAGGAGGTCAATTTATTGAGTTCAGATTGTCTGTATTTAAAGGCAGTGGCTCGGCAAATCTCAACCTAGTCAAATTTGCGCTTATTTGGGGTTTTTCAATACGCTGATCCCGAAAATCCACTTTTGAAACCTTGAAAACGGCGAAGAGCGTTTATTAATGCCCTTTCCTTTGATATTAGACGAATGGAGCAAGGCCGATGACGCTAAATCGTGGCAGGACCCAATGCTTATAGCGTTGCGGCGGGCGGCGCCATCTATTCCTACCGGGCTGGCTGCGCGAGCGGTCCGCTGCCAACAGTGACTGTGGGGCGCGCAAACCTTGCCATCGGCGGCGGATGACCCGGATGACCTGCATCACACCTTTTATCGACTAGGGCGGCCTGATATATGGATTTCGCGCCCGTTATGGACATAAAAGGCGATAGGAATGTTCTGCAGTGAATTCGAGTCCTACTTTTCTGCATTTTTCTAAAGCTACTTTGACATGCTACTAATATTGGTTGTATTGGTGAGTTTTTTTATGGCGTTTTCACTATTTTGTTGTCTTTTTGAGTAGAATGAGGTCAGTGAAGGTTTTGACTACGTTGAAACTTGCTGAATGTTCTCAACTTCTTGAAACTTGAGCTGGCCTCTTTCTGATATTGCTCGGAATGATTTTGTTTACTTTCTCTGCCCACTCCAATGATTACTGGAGTGAGCGACCATATTGTTTTCACTTGGCGAAGCAAAATATTCTCGGAGTTTAGTGTGGTTATAAACTAAGTGTGCTTAACACACCCTTTCATGCAGCATCTTATTTTTCTCAATCACTCTTTACTACTTTCGCTTGTGCTGGGATTTTTTTTCAGCTATGCCATATTCTTCGCACTAGTCGCTATTATCAACTAACAGTCACAGTTCGTATGCCTTCCCAAGTGAAAACGTGAGTTTAGTTTTCTTGATGGATTTTCGCTAACTTTTTTGCAAATTTTTTTCTTTTGAGATTCTTTACACTATCACATTGTTGGTTTCTTTTATCATTCCTTTATCATTCTACTCTCACATGCACATTTCACAAACTACTCTCAAAGATATGCCAGTTCGTGGTTTATTTTTGTTGGAACAAATGGATTTCAACCAATTAGACTATGAGTTGGCCATCTTTTATCTCTTCACACTGTTTCTTTCTTCCATTCGAGTCTTTTCCATAATAGCAGGAATTTTCTAGTATCTGACTTCAATGTGCACTCCAGCTAACGCACTGTGTGTTTTGTCAGAGTCCCTTTTCTTGAACTGATTTATGCTGACTTTTTGCAAGACTGATGCAAGACAGATGCAAGACTGTTTAGGACAGATTATCAAGTACATCAAGACTTGAGACTCATTAAAACAGAAGTGGTTGAGTTCTGGCTTTGCTCTGCCTGCGTTGCTTCATTTTAGGCTAAGCGGTCGCGATTCCAGCGACACATCCTTTATAGTGGTTTTTGATCCAAATAAACATTCTATTGCGAAAGATTGTCTTATGGGTCTCAAGAAGAAAGGAGCACTTTAGTCTTTCGTAATAATAAGCGATCCGCAGCTATTCACGCAATATACATTCCATCAAAATCGCTCTACTGGTATGTCGTCAGCTCAAAGAGAGTTATGGAGTTGTCCTGTTTGCTCCAAAGTCCTAATGAGGAAGAATGTCTACAGCCACCTAAGAGTCTCTCACAAATATTCGACTGAACAAATCGCCAATGCTAAAGAAATGATTAGAGAGTGTTCAATCTCCTCACGTCCAATCCTGCTCCCAAACTGTACTGTCCAGTATGTGACGAAGGCTTTCCTGACCATGAACTTCTGGCGCAGCATTGCTACGACGAGCACAGTGAGGATGGCGCTAATGGGAAGCCGCAGGACTATACCGTCTTCCAGCTCACATTTGACACAAATGCGGAATTTCAGGTATCTTTTGAGCTGTCGCCTCTTTAGAAACCGGTGCCATGCCACTCAAGACAACCCAAAGATGCAAAATCTTAGATTTCGTGGAAACTTTGCACACAAGGTTCATTTTATTGAATGTTAATGGAAAGATAGTCTTTTACGGTGGGGACTTTTTTGTGATATCACAACTGGGTGTCATGAAATTCAAGTTTCGATATCCTATGTCTTATCTCACGAAATTGGCCATAACGTGCAAAATAAATACCGTAATCGTGATCAGCATGTCAACCAACCTCCAGTGCAAAGTGTTTTGTTGACTGAACTCTTGGGGTTCCTTGAATTTAACCAGCTTCTCAATTAATTCGTGTGATTCAGGAATGGTTGAATGAACAATGTGAAAACACAAAAACTAGTTTCTATAAAAGGTCTACTGACGGCAGCTCTTATAGGCTGAGTTATACGTTGTGAATATAACAAGTTTATTTCATGGCAAGATTCCTTTTAAGATGTAATCGAGCAGGGACATACATCAAAACAACTACCACCAGAGCAACATCTAGCAAAAAAGACGTAGTAAGCTGCAGTTGTTTTATAAACGTTAGAGTTGATGAAAATGGGAAAACCATTGCGACTGGGTGCTTCGGTCATGTGGGCCACGAAGTAGAGCCAGCGCTGCTTCGCCTGAGTAGTGCACAGGAGCAGTTTCTGAAGACTTTACTGGAAGGTATTTCAGAATAACTGTAGAAAGAAAGTGTTTGAGCTGTTCAGAACATTCTATGGACTACATATTACGACGGTTGAAGAAGGACTACTCAGCCAAAAACTCGAGGCTTTGGTTTGTAGACAGGCATGACCTTTGGAACTTGACGTACAAAATGGGGTTACGCCCTGGATATCGCCATAAGAGCGATATGAACTCACTTATGCTGCGTGAAACCGAAGCAAATCCTGAAGACGGGATACGTCTTTTGGAAGTGGGTGACGACCCTAGTGGAAGAGGATTTCGGATGAGTGCGTAAAACAAAGCTCAGATATTCAAAACTGATGCAGTTTCTTTAGTTATCATCACCCCTACCCAGGTGGAATGGTTGAGAATGTACTCCGATCGAGGTATAGCAGTTGATGATACTCACAATGTCACAAAGTATAACCTGAAATTGGCTACAGTGTCTGTGGCAGACCAGAGGGATCGTGGTCTACCTGCAGGTATAAAATTTTGAGGCAGAACTTTCAATCAGCATTTATTTTCAGCTTTTTTGTTGAGTGGCACCATGACGGCATACGATGTTCACAAGCTTTTCGCGGAGATACAGAAGCTTGTACCAGATTTCAATCCACATCAAATTGTGACGGATGAAGCCCCATGCTTTTATAACGGATTCCGCGAAACATTTCCAACATCTCAAGCAAAACTTCACTACTGCAGGTGGCACCTTGATCAGACGTTCAGAAGAGCCACAACACGGCTTGTGGAGGTAGTTTTCATACCTTTTTTGCAGTGTGTCATAGATGCTACAGTAAATTTCTAGGCACGCTTGAGGGGGCGCATCAACAAGGATCTAAGTAGACTTCTTCTGATTGCCGATCTTGAGACGTTCGAGCGGAAATTTGCGGAGATTCTTGCTTTTCTGGATGTGGAGGGACAAACCGCCATGGCGACTTATCTCAGGGAGAATTATCTAGGTGACATTGTAGCCAGTGTTATCTTATTCAAACTTGAGACTGTAGGAAGGACCGCAACTTGGGCTTCGTTCGCCAACCAACATGCTGTGATGGACACTACAATGATCAGTGAGCGGTGGCACCTCAGGCTAAAGAAGGACTTCCTCCACAGAAATTCCAATATAAGGGCCGATTTCCTGGTGGATTTACTAATTAAAGCAGTCGAAGATTTAGCGGACACAAACGAAATAAGGGTAAGCTGACCATGGAAGCACATGGACATGAATGACGTATTCAAGGATCGACGACGTGCCGCAACATCGTCATATCGTGTACAAGAAATTACCAAGCGTCATCGTAAGGCCATGCTGTATTATGAGAGAAGACCTCAGCGGATTCGCAGGATCGGAGAAATGGAGTGGCAAGTCGAGGGTAAACAACCCACGGACCTATATACCGTTACGCAAGGCGAATGTCGTTGCGATATCTCAATGGGCCACAATGTCCACTGCCCACTATGCGACATCTGTCCCTATTCTTGGAACTGCTCATGCCTGGACAACAGATCTGGAATCAGCTGTCTCCACAGACACGCGGTGAAGCTCTACGGTGGTGAGATAGCAACCCGAATCAGCGCTGCCGAGCCTGTTGCCGGAGAAGGAGTTGAAGGGAGACGCATTGAAGTCGAGGAAGCCTTACCTCCCACACTGGAACCATCCACCTCGCGCGTGACTACAGCTCAGGAAAGAAAACAGGAGAGAAGTCAGATGAGGAATGATATCGAAAGTGTGAGTTCCGCGTTCACATATTATAGTGTTTCAAGTCAAAAATTGCAGAGGTACGCTGTGGTCTACTCTCATGTCAATGTGCTCGTGAACACGGACACAGCAGAGTCCCTCGATTCGCTCAAAGAGATCTATGAGCTGATAGACCAAGCTTCGAGGATAAGGGTGCGAGGATCAGTCTCAGAGCCGAATCTCGCAGTGAGGCCCGAACTAACCAAGCTAGGTGGAAAACCATTACTCACTAAGGCAGAACTATTCACGGCAAGTACAAGTAGATAGTCATCTTCGTACCTCTAGTCAATAACTTGCAGCGTTCCCAGTACCGGAAAATACAGAAGGGCCAAGGCGAACATTGAGAGAATCCAAAGCAAGAAGTTCCACAGATATCTTTGTCTCATGATGTATACCTCCCTGTCATTATGAAATTCACATAACTGTGGCTTACTATGATCGCTTACTCCAGTAATCTTGCACAGTAGCATAACAATTAACCAACACATTTTCCTTTTGGATAATTATCGCATATGTGCTCATCATTTTTGCAACATACACAGATAAAGTTTATGAAAGAGTGCTATCAGGTTTTCAAAAAACAAAGAACGGTTGCATTATCAATTGGAGTTTCATGAAACATACTCTTAGACAAAAAAAGGCCGGCTTTATTTTCAGAAAGCTAAAATATTTCAGGAAACTACAACATACTCAAAAGCTGGCTACTGGTCGCTTCCTGTAAGAGACTAGTGAAATTTGCATCATGCTCACTCACTCCAGTAATCATTGGAGTGGATAGAGAAAGTAAACAAAATCATTCCGAGCAATATCAGAAAGAGGCCAGCTCAAGTTTCAAGAAGTTGAGAACATTCAGCAAGTTTTAACGTAGTCAAAACCTTCACTGACCTCATTCTACTCAAAAAGACAACAAAATAGTGAAAACGCCATAAAAAAACTCACCAATACAACCAATATTAGTAGCATGTCAAAGTAGCTTCAGAAAAATGCAGAAAAGTAGGACTCGAATTCACTGCAGAACATTCCTATCGCCTTTTATGTCCATAACGGGCGCGAAATCCATATATCAGGCCGCCCTAGTCGATAAAAGGTGTGATGCAGGTCATCCGGGTCATCCGCCGCCGATGGCAAGGTTTGCGCGCCCCACAGTCACTGTTGGCGGCCGCGCGCGGACCGCTCGCGCAGCCAGCCCGGTAGGAATAGATGGCGCCGCGGCGGGCAGCCTTCAATGGTGAGCAGGAAATGGCCAACTCGTCCAGATGCGTGTAAGATTGGCCTGCGCGTGTAAGTTCGAGAGCGATTTTCTCGACAGGGAAAGCATGCTGTGCAACCGGGATTGCACTGTTTTCATAGTTAGGCGATAAGGAACCTACCGCGTTAAAATCCCGAGTTGTTGGATTTGCCGATCCACTGCCTTTAACTAACTACGCTCTGCTAAAGGTTGAAAGGAAACATGGAGATCTGATTAGCAACAAGATCGCATTTTACATTTAAATTTACTTTATTTTCCGAGCATGATCTTTTGAAAATTTGATGCAGAAATCTGACTATCATTTTTTCTGCACGAATTGTTACTAAAGATAAATCAATGATTGAGCGGAGTTGAGCAGTAGATTTTCCTTAATCTTTCCAATGATACCATCCATGCATACATGAGTTCTACCGTAACATTACTACAGACCGTTTGAAAAACCGAACTTATTTTTAGCCAACCCAATATCTAGCCACAAACCGGTTCCTACTTGCGTGCTGCTTATTGTTAGTAAAAAAAGTCTTTTTTACAGTAGATATAGACATTCTGAGAATTCCGGGCTTATTCAGCGGCAAAAAAAGTTGCCTCGTCCATAGATATGCAAACACGGACTTGGTGTGGAATTAAAATTTATATGGGAAGAGGATGTATGTCCAGGCAAGTTCTATATTTTTATCGCATCACATTCAAGTATATTTTTTCTCACACAGAACAACCCAACATTCTTTGTTTTACCAAAAATTTGACTTACTGTGGATATTCGAAGACGACTCGTACTTTTTCCATTAAGCGTCACCCTTTTGACTGATTTTTCTGCCTGAAGATAAGCAAAAAACGAATGAAAACAAGTAGAATGTGAGCAGGATTACGGACTCATACCAAATAAGTGTCAACACTAAAGAGTCATTCTTTTACGATGAGATAACCGTTGATATCGAGTGTGTAATGTGCCATTATAATTTTATTGCAGAGAAATACGATGAAAACATGAGATGAATAAGCCAGTTAAGCTGAAAAAATGTTTTTAACATTGTGCAAAATTTGAGAGCAAGTATTTAATCTCTATTAATCAACTCAAATTTTCTTCAAGCTGCTACAAGTAGTAGTACTTAGCCAGGCGAAGATTTTCAGAATTTTCTCCGACTAGCTGTAAATTGAGCTTCTTTATGAATCAAGATTCCCAAACTTCTAATTGTCCTGCGTCCAGCAGTGAATCTTTGGTGTCTTTTCGAAACGAATAGCCGACAGCTTTGGTTTTAGTACCAATAAGGCTGCCGCATGATTTTTATTTGTGCTTGTGAACCGATCTATATGACTCAGATCATTCTTGATCAACTTTTGGTGTACAATGCTTAGATTATTTAGAATTGTGCTTCTGTTATGCTGTACAGAATTGCTTGATCTACTAGAGGCACAGTCCACTCAGAGCGGGGGTTCACAAGGTTAGAATGGCATACTAGCTTGGGCCCATTCAAACCGCCAAGTTGCGCAGCAAAAGATTGCTTCCGCGGGCTAGAAATCCGCTCCGGAAGGGACGTAATCAGGTGCTGGTCGCTCCGCCCAGCTGGTCACCCCGCCCACTTTGCATTGCATATGGCGTGCCCGCTAAATATCAGCTTCCAGCCGAGCCCGTTGCATTTCGCTGTTCTCCAAAACGGGGGTTTTCGGGAATTTTGACTACAACTATGCTCGACTACATATTCGGAATCAGGACCTTCAGCAGGCCTGGAAAGGACAAAAACATGGAAGACGAGGATTTTGGTGGACGGTGCCTTTCAGTACAGCCGAATAGTAGTGTGTCAAACAAACCAAACATAGCTGAAGGATAAATGTAACTGCAGTTTATAAGAGATAACTTCGATTTAAGCCTTTACCAAGTTCGTACTATGAGAAGGTAGAACACAAAACCAATGTAGAATGTGGAGCACAAACCCTTGCATTTGTTTGGAGAAAAAACTCTCAAGCGCTTTTGACAGCAAGACGAAAAAAACTATTGCTATGATTCCTTAAAGGCACCGTCCACCCAGATTTTCGACTTCAACGTTTTTGTCATTTCAGGGCCTTCTCATGTCCCTGATACCAAGTATGAAGTCAAGAATGCGCGAAAACCCCGACAATCCCCGTTCCAGAGAGCCCACAAGCCGGCTTTCCGGAACGGTGATTGGATGGGCGCCCAGAAATGGGTAGGCATGGAAGGGGGAGGGCGGGCATAAATGGGGGTCCTCGTGCATCTTCGCTATTCCGGAGCGACACTCTGCGCCGCGACCTGGGCATTGGATTGATAGGGGGCCCTACTATTATATGTTGCCAAAAGCTCAACACCCTCAACTTAGGGCGGGCGGTACCTTTAAAATGATCGCATTGATGAATATGCAGTATAAGCTTTCAAATAGCAATATTTACTCCACTGTCCAACTTTGGCATTCCTATCCTAAATTGCTGGAGGAGACTCCCTTCCCCCCCCCCCCCAAATGTTTTTGATGTTCTCTTAATGTTCTTTTTCCTTTTTAGGTACTAATCAAAGTGCTATAAATAATAACTATCGTTCAGTCCCTTGCGTTCTGCGACTGCAGGTTCAGGATGAGGATGCCAGTTCTGTATGTGCAATGCACACATGATCTTATTCTCTTGAAGGAATTTTGCGAAATTCTCCCAAGCTTTCTACTCTCTGTAACTTGCCTTTTTCACATGGCATCTTGATTATGATAGCCGTAAACTCTTATGACCTAGCAAATTCATGTTAAAAATGCTGGTTTTGGAAAAACTTACAACATTTTGTAGGTTGTCAAGAAAATCATTTTTGGCTCCTTGCTTTAGCAGATAGGATGTTCGATAGAGCAAAGCAAGCTTTACAAGATGGTATTTTGAATTTCGTGACAAGTTTGACTCATTCCTATCCTAAAATGGATCAAATTTGAAGTTATGTTTGAAGTAAGTAAGTTTGAAGTAAATTAAATAAGTAAGCTATGTGAGTTAAGTAACGGTAAGTTTGACAAAATCCAAGGAGTTCTGCATGCCAAAAAATAGAAGAAAATCGGTCCGTCCAGAAAATTTCTAGGACCTCTCAGTCACATTCGTCAATACTTTCGATATCAGGCATCCATATGCGCAGTTGTTGTAATTTTTCCATGACTGGAAACTGAGAAAACGAAAATATACGTGTTTTTCTCAAAGCAATGCTGAGCCGCTTTCACATATGTAAATCTATACTACGGGCATAATTGAGTTTAACTGCGAATTTTTAGCCTATTCCGAGCCGTAGTTCAGAAATACCAAATTTGGCTTTCTTCTCCTCAGCTGTGCCAATTCGACATTTCCCGAAGATTAGCGCTCGGTGTAGGCTGGAAAATCACAATTATATTTACCTGGGCTCGTAGTATAGAACTTATGTGAAAGCGGTTCAGCATTGCTCTGAGAAAAACACTTAGATTTTCGTTATTTCAGTTTCCAGTCACGGAAAAAATACAGCAACTGCGCATATAAATGGCTGATATTGAAAGTATAAGTGTATGCAATGGGGAATCTCCAATTTTTTCAACGGAGGTAAGTTTTTTCTTCAGTTTTTTTGGCATTTCAAACCCTTTAGATCTTGAGTTCTTGAGGCGCAAAAGTACGCTAACTCTAAAATAAAAAAATGGCCACTTACGCACCGTTTTTTCGTGGCTTTAAACAATCATCAAGAAAGCCTATTGTATGTCAAAGCCTTAGTATTGTTGATTGGAGTAAAAATCTCAAGAAAACAGACATGTTTGGAGTGATTGAATCTAAAAGCATTTTGCATTGAAAGAAAATAGTTACTCCTTTTTTCCACGGTGAGATCAGCTTAGAGCAAGTATCCCAGACTTTAGTAAAGTAAATTTATGAAAAATGTGAATGCGAAAGATTACAGCATCGAGTGAATAAAAAAAGCTCCACTCAAGTACTACATATGATCATACTTCTGAACTTTTAATTTGCAATTAAAGTTACTACATTTTGTGCTTTTTATACCGTTTTTAGCTGCCTCTTACGCAGCATT